GAAGCCCGGGAGCTGTCCAGCATTTGCATTGCTGGAAGGAGAACGCAGGAGCCAAGCACTGGGACGGTGAGGCAGGGCACTCTCTTGCCCTCCATCCATCTCAGTCTCTCACCTGGGAGACCCCTCTCCCCGAGTTCTGCACCCCAGAACTGCCTCTCACCATGCAGGTCAAGGTGCTCTAAAACTAACAACTACCAGACAGCTGCCAGGTGATAGGACGGACGGTCTGCTGGTCCTTCAAACCCACTGCCACCCCAAGTACCACCCATACTAAATCCCCAGCATAAAGCATCAGAGCGGAGCAGGGTCTGGACAGCACAGAACGTTTAGCTTAGAGTCTAATGGAATGAGTGTTTTCTTGATTTATGCTATTGCTCTGGTCTGGTCCCTCTCGAGGCCATTCTCCAAGCTATACCCAGAGCTCCAGTGCAAGTGACGTCATGACTCTGCTTACAATTCTGAAGTCTCCACTCCTGGGTGTGACACTCAATGTCCTTCAAGAGCTGGCCCTACCTACCTCCACCTGTCCCCACTACCTACTGCCCTCATTCCCCAGCCATTCTAGGTGCCCCATCTATCTAACCCCAGATACCAGGTTGTCAAAGACAGCTATGGGGCTGGTGGCAGGGACAAGCATTCCAAACAAAAGGAACAGCAGTGCTAAGTCCTGCTCCTCTGCAAGAGTCATCTCAGGAATCCCTTCGTACGGAAGACCCCTCTGGCTGACTGCCTCTCTCTGTAGCCAGCCACTCTGTGACAATGTGATTCTGCTCCATCACTCAGACAAATTACCCTGCAAACACGTCCCCCTGGAAAGTAAGCTAGCGCTTTACGATGTTTTATCCGTTTGGTATCACTAGCACTTACCTGCATGTGAGCAAGCAAAAATAAACAGAAGATCCAGGTTTTTGCCTGAGGACTTGGTTAATAGAGACTGGTGTGTATAGAAATAATAATAGTTATAATAATAATGTACGATAATAATAGCTAGCCCCTATGTGTCTGGCACCTGCGAAGTTATAGATGTTAACTCATCAAACCCATATGGCAATCATCAAAACCACCCTGAGGGAAGCCTCTCCACCAGGTCCATTTTACAGACGAGAGAACTGAGGCACAGGGGGCTAAGTATCCTCCCCAAAGGCAACAGAGCCAGAAAGCAGCCCAGCAGGGACGCCAACCCAGACAATCTGGCTTCAGAGTCTGAGCCCTCGTCCATGTCACCATCTAAAGGAAAGGGACCCAGAGGCAAAAGAGGCCATGACAGTCTCTCCTAGAGCCAGGAGGATACCAGCGCTCACTTTGTCCTCCGCATCAGCAGAACCTAAAGCTCCTACCAGGGTGATCTCAGGGAACGTGGGTGTCCAAACCCCACCCAAACCCAAACCCAAGGGGGTCAAGCCCCAGCCTTGGTAGCAGAATCTGGCAGGACTGTACCCTCACACCCAGGAACAGCCCGCCTTGGGGCCCTTTCCTTTGTCCCCTCCCCCAGCGTCCCCTCCCCAACTGCCAAGACCCTGCCTCCCACCCCCCTGCACCTGGCTGCCCCTGGCAGGCAGCCCCAGACCCCTTGTGGAGGAGAAGCTCCCCCCAGCTCTTAGCAGCTGCCAGGTCATGCCGGAGCCGGCAGGCATCTTCCGGGCACCACTCACCGCCCCGCCAGGCCTGGCATGCCAGGAGCTCCACGTTAAGTTGATGGCCCTGCACAGCCCCACGGAGCTGCTATTTTTAATTTAATTGGAGAGTCGGAGGAGAAAGATGGTACCCAGCGAGGGAGTTTTAAAAGCTTTTGGGGTGGGGGAGGGGGGCAGAGAAAGCGAAGAAAAGTTCGTAATTATACACCAGGCAGCCAGATTTGATGCTTGAACAGAAAGGTTAAATGTTACATTCAGAATAAAATGAGAAAAAGAGTCCTGATGACAGTTGCCCAGAGCTAAATAAGGAAGAAAAAAAAAAATACCCCTTGCCCATCTCTTCTCCAGCTTCCTCTTCTCCCTCATACTCATTTCTGAGTTTCCCTCCTTCTGCCTTTTAAAGTTCAGGAGCACGCACAAATAAACCAGTTTGGAGCACAAAGATTACTACTCAGCATGTCAACACTTGATTGCCACCCAAAAGCAGCTTTCATTCACGCCTGAAAAAATCACACATTTTCATTTCTCAAGCCAACAGGTCTAATAGGGCCCAGAAGACTGGGATGGCCTTTGGGGAGGATACTGGCACTGTGGAGAACTACATGGGCTTTAGTATGGATGGACCTAGGTTCAAATACCTCCTCTGCCAAGGGACAGATGCCCTAGGATACTGGCACTGTGGAGAACTACATGGGCTTTAGTATGGATGGACCTAGGTTCAAATACCTCCTCTGCCAAGGGACAGATGCCCTAGGTCAGAAACAGAAGTCTGCTGGTTAAGACTTTCCTATTATAAAGAGACAGACTCAGATGGCACACTCCTTTCATCCTTCCTTTTCCAGCAGGGAATATAGATGTGATGCCTGGAGCTGCTGCAGTCATTTTGTGCTCACGAGGCAACACGCTAAAGGTGGAAAAACTGAGAAACAGGAAGGGTCCTTGATGATATAGACATACTGCTGTTCCTCAGGGCTGCCTGCCTGTCACTGAGACAAAGAAATCCCCATATGTTTCAGCCACTTTTAGTCTAGTTTTCTAGAAATGCTGAATCTATTCCTAACTGTGACAATCCTTTATTAGCCTGACCTTGAGTGTGAACTTGAGCACGAGCTTCACATCACTCAGCTTTGGATTTCCTGTGTGTAAATGGGGACAAATAGCACAGTGTGTGTGTGAGGATTGAATGTGACTCCATTTGTAATGCATGATGGCTGATGACTGCCATTGTTATTCATACTCCTGATTAAGAGGAAAGCAGTATCATATTATAAAATTTAAAGTCACCTCTCCTATCTCAATAACACTTTCTAGTTTTCAAAGAGACTTCTTGGGGCACCTGGGTGGCTCAGTTTGTTAAGTGTCTGCCTTCAGCTCAGGTCATGATCCCTGGGTCCTGGGATCAAGCCCCACATCAGGCTCCCTGCTCAGTAGGGAGCCTGTTTCTCCCTCCCCCTCTGCTGCTCCCCCTACTTGTGCTTTCTCTCACTCTCTCTCCTGTTCTCTATCAAATAAATAAATAAAATATTTTTTAAAAAGCCAAAAAACAAACAAAAAAGGGACTTCTCTTTCTTCATCTTAGCTCATCCTCCACACCAAATCTCTGAGGGAAGGGAGTATTATTCCCTATTTTATACCCAGCAGACTCAAGAGAGGTTAAGCAACTTGCCCAAGGTAGCTTAGCTAATGACAGGGCCAGGCTGTAACTCAAATCTGACTCCGAGTCCCTGGGGCCCAGGCCAAGCTGGCTCTGAGCTGTTCTAATACAGGTCCCACTTCTCCTGGGGACCACTGATGTCTCAAGTTTAGGGATAACACTGGGGCTGAGACAGTATGGTTCATGTGGCAAAGACAACATGAGCTGGACTCTGGCCTTCAAACTCCCCCTCCTGTCCCTGAAACGTCAGGGTTCCTTGGGCTCCAATCTTCTGCCCACTGCACTTATTACTCCATTAACATTAGGGAACTAAGAGCCCTGTTTAGAAGCAGCCATAGAACACTGTGGTTGAGGACCCAGACTGGATTTGAACCTCACTTTTGCCACTTAACATAAAAAAAATTTGTTAAATAAATAGTTCTCTCTGTGTATTAGTCAGGGTAAGCAAAACAGCTGCTGTAACAAACCACCCTCAAATCTCAGTGGCTGAATGTGGCAGATTTTTCCTCATGTCCCAGTGCAGTGCAATGGGGTTGGGTGGGGCTTGGGAGGGGGGGTATTATGCTCCAGCCAGTCATTCAGCCTCCTTCCATCTGCAGCTTTGCCCTTCCCCCATTAGATCCTCCACACCCTGCAGGCTGATAGGGTTATTTTAAGGGTCAGGCATTCTCTGAACTGGCCAGAACCTATGGCATGGTCAGGTGACCCTACCTATGGTGGGGTGGTGGTGTCCTGGGAAGTGTAACTTCACAGTGTGACAAGGAAGGAGGGGGTGGTGACCCCTCACCCATGGTCCCCAGCAGTCCCATCTCAAGCTACCCCATCAAAAGTAGGCAGCCCCAATCCCCCAGATCATGTGGCCTTTTTGCATTTGATTCACTATTTCATTCTTTGTCACCTCAAATAGTTTTCCTTATTTACTGTCTATGTCCCCACGGTGGACTGCAAACTCCTTGAAACCAGAAACCTCTAGTATCTTTCACCCATAGTCCCTCCAATATTTACCAAATAAATGTTACACTAGTAGAAACTCAAACTTTACCAGAATATTGGGACAGCTAGGATTAAGAGAGAGATTGTGGCAGAGGAAGAACGGGGGGCTCCATCCGGCTCAGTGGGTCCCCAGAGGCTGCCCTGGACCCACCCTGGTCCTCATGTACTCACACTCCCTGTACTCCACCCCGCCGCCGCCGTCCACAACAAAAGTCAACACCGGTTCCAAAGAAGTTGTTTATTTGCAGATATAAAACAAGACCCTGGCCACAGGAGGGAGGGCCCTCGGGCTCACCTGTAGGAAATCCTCCCTGGCCAGAGAGAATGAGTAAAACTAGGAAAACTTCATCTCTCCCACCCCACCCCCCATCTCCTAGTCAAAAATAACTGAAACCCAGCAGAAGGTCCCACCTCTCTTGCCCTGGTTAAAACCTACTGAACTGAGAACAGGACCGCTCAAGGAAGATGCCAGCAAAAGGTAAGTGGCTATTTGGAGATGTTAACTGACTACTCCCCTCCAAATGACAGACCACCCCCTGGAGATGCTGTCCCCAGAGGGCTTCCCTGTCCTCCTCTGGGCTGGATCCCACTCTTGAAACAAGATAAAACCCTAGAACCTAAAAAACACCCTCATAACTTCGGAATTTCAAAGCCAGCTAACTCCACCCCTGCCCCGACCCTGTCACTGGAAATTAATCCCTCGGAGCCCCTGGGACGGGTCACAGCCTCTGACTCTCTTCATACTCCTCTTTGGTCATCCACTCGGACTTATAAGAAGACAGATGGGCCACAACAGACGCCCCCAGCCAGACGCTAAAGTTTCTGTTGGAACCCACCCACATGGTGGCCTTGGTGGAGGAGAAATGATCTGCAATCAACTCCTTGTACAGGCGCTTGGTGAAGCCGGGGTAGAGGGTGTTGCCCCCACAGGCCATCACGTGGGAGGTGAGCAGTGGGTGCACAGTGGCCTCGCAGGCCAAGATGGCATCCACCACGGCCTGGGAGATGCTGGGCCCCTGCAGGTCGAACATCTGGGGGCTGAAGAACATCTCGGGGGCCAGCCGCTGCAAGGGGGTCAGCTCCACCGGGGTGCCATCGGGGAGCTGATAGGTGTTGTTCTCATCCGAGCCGCTCGGCAGGCTCTGGCGGAAGTCCAGCGCCTCTGCCAGATTCTGGGGCACGTAGCACTTGCTCATCTGGGTGGTGGCCACCGTCTCCAGCTGAAACAGGTTGTGGTGGTTGCAATCCTCCTTAAAGAGGCTCTTGAAGAGATAGGCCGACAGATCCTGGCCCGCGAACTCCAGCGTCTTGCCGCTGGGCCGCAAGGGGCGGCCCAGGTAAAAGGGCTGCACGCGGGTCAGGCCGTAGCCGGAATCGACCACCACGCCGGTCAGGAGGCCGGAGGCGTACAGGGACATCTCCAGCTGGTCGGCCAGCAGTATGGACGGCACATCCTGTAACTCAAACATAATCTGCAAGAAGGGAGAAGAGCCACTAGGGTATTTCGCCCACACAAAAGGCCCCGATCCATTTCTGGTTTCTGTTTTCCCCCACACTGAGCTACGTGCTAAGCTCTCGGAACTGAAGCAGGTGCAGACCTGTGTCCCCTGGGGGGCAGGGGGGCCTGCCCCGAGGAGGTGGGGCCCACGGCCCCTGGAGCTCATGCTATGGGAACAAGGGAGGCGCTAGAGGATTAGGAGTCAGATTTGCTCCAGGGTGGGGGGGGCTGTTTGAGGACCCCCACTGTTCAGAAGATTGTTTTTGATGGAGGGGTGGGAGGCACTGTCAGCTGCTACATGGAATGGTGCTGAGATGCTTGGCTGTGTGAGCCCAGGACCAGCGGGGGCTACAGCCAAGGGGCAGATCAGCCGCCTGACCCATTTCTTTAGAAAAGGGCAGAAGAAATTAGACAAGAAACACATATATCATATCCACCACTGCCTCCAAAAAAGGAGGGGGAGGAAGGAAGGAAAGAAGGAAGAAAGAAGGGAGGGAGGGAGGGAGATACATACTCTCACCTCCTGGTAAGTGAAGTCTTTTTTCCTCCACACATCAAGACAAAACTAGAATTCTGACATTTAGGTTTTGGCCAAGTCCCTAGGCTGATTTTCTCCCCCACCCACCACCACACTCCCTCCCCACCCAGATCTTTACAGATCTGGCACCCCAACTGCCTCCCTAATTCCCCAGCTCTGACGGCATCCCCAGGTTTCTGACCCTATAGACAGAGAAAGGTGGCACTAGTCTGCCGTTTGCCGTGGCCTTTGGCCAGGTAGCCTCCTCTTCAGGCCCCAGAAGGACCATCTTCCCACTGAGGCAGGGGCGAGCTCCCCCACACCCACACTCAGAATACTGTCCTGCCACCACCCACTTCCCAAATAGAAGCCAAGGTCCTCTTTTTCAAATAGGAAATTAAATATGAATCCCACTTAAAACTCTCCAGGATCTTCCGATTTATTTAGAGCAGAGCTTGGCAAGCATTTTCTATAAAAGCTAGACAGTTGGGGTTGCCAAATTTAGCAAATAAAAATACAGGCTGCCCAATTAAATTCGACTTTCAGACAAACAACAAATAATGTTTTCATATACGTATGTCCCATGCAATACTTGGGACATGCTTATACTAAAGTATTATTTGTTGCTTATCTGAAATCCAGCTCTAACGTTAAAGGCACCACGGATTTTATCTAGCAAACCTACAGTGAGTAAGTTTTTTAGCCTTTACACAATATGGATATGGTCTCTGCCACAAGTATCACAGCTCTGCTGATATGGTATGAAAGTAGCCAAAGACAATATGTAAATGGGTGGACATGGCTATGTTCCAATAAAACTTTATTTATAAAAACAGATGGTGGGCCAATTTGGCCCACCGGCTGTAGTTGGCCGAACCTTGATTTAGAGTAAAATCTAAGCACTCCCCACAGCCTCTGGGGCCTGAAAGACCCAACCCCTGCGAAGTCAAGGTGGAATATGATCTTGGAACATTTATGTGATCCACAAACAAAGTATCCACTGTCTCCCCTTCTCCACAGAGCATTTCAACTGCTGTGTCTCCATCTGTTGGAAGAAACTCCATGAACCCCATCCTACCTACAACAAGTGCCAGGCACACACTGGGTACTCAGGAAACATTTATGGGGCAAATTAGTTAGAAAGCAGAGTTCCTGATACTCAGTCATGTCTGAACACAAAATGCCAGGTTATTTCCCACTCGCCTTACCTCCAGGGTCTTCCGTCGGTCCGCAGGCTCCATCAGAGGGGTCTCTGTGACCATCACGGGGAAGTCCTCATGCTCCCGTCTATGTCTCTCCAGGACAAATGACCAGATGTGCTCCACACCCTCCCAGTTGAGGATACGGCCACGCTGGATGGGGTAACTAAAGGTATCAGGATGGCAAACGTCAATGCCTAGACTCACGCGCCTTTGGGCATAGCTGGGGCCAGGATTCTCCCTGCACGGGACGTAGTTCACGATGCTCGGAAAGACCATCTGCGGCTCATTCCACCCAGACAAGCCAGCCTTCAGAAAGCCAGACCCGTGGTCGATGATAATGGTTCTCGCGGCCATGGTGAAGGCAGAGGTGGGAGAGGTCTTCTGGACTCGACTGTGGAGGGAAAGGATGGGGGGTTATTCCAGGCCACCCCTGCTGCCCACTTTCCACCCCACAGTCAAGCTTCAGGCTCCCCTAAAGTGTGTCCATCTCCCCTTCCAAGCCTTTGCACAAGCTGTACCTGCAATGTTCCTCCTGTCTCAAACTCCTAATCATCCTACAAGGCCCTGCCTGCAAAGTCCTGCCAAGCCCTCCTTCCCACCCACCTCTCCCCTTGTACTTCGCACACTCGTCTGTTATACGATGGGGCACACTTCCACTCCACAGGAGCGGAGGTTGGGCCCTGCTACTCTTGGCAGCCTTCACAAGAAGCTTTCACCCAGGAAGTGATGGTGCCTGATGGTGACTGGCTGCCTGATTTGAGGACTCAGGGTCATGAGCCTTGGGGGCCACCGCACTCGCAATAACAGCATAGAGGCAATAGCAGCATGAACAGTGGTAACCACGGTGACAATGACAGTGATGACAAGGACAACCTGCAGAGCTACCATTCTGGGGTGCATGCCCTCGGTCTAGCTCTAGGAGGAACACCTTGCATGGGAGGTTGAACTATGTAAAATTGCCATTCGTGCCAGTCAAAAATGATCAAATGCACTTTCATATGGCTTGAGCAGGTGATCATTTCTTCTGTACCACAACCTGTAAGGCAGGCACCACAGGTGGGGACACTGAGGCACGGAGGGCTTGAAGTTACTTTCCCAGGGCCACACAACTGACCAGCAGGGCTGACAATTATACCCAAAGCAGATTCCAAAGGCCACACTCTGAGCATCAGGCTAAGCCCGAGAAGCGGGTTTTGAGTAGGAGCTAGGCGACTAAGTTACTGCATAAGGGAGGCCGTACATGGGATGTCTGACCACGATCATGGTGAGTTTCAACGCCTGTAAAGTGGGGAGAGTAAGAACCACCACGCCAGAAAGGCAGGTGTGGTCACTACCTGATTTCCAGACTTACTACAAACCTACAGTAGCCAAGACAATGTGGCACTGGTGAAATATTTGTCATAAAAACACAGAGGATGGAATAACAAGTCCAGACACAGATCCTCACAAAGTCTGACAAGGTGCAAAAACCAGGAAAGGAAGGGCCAACGGTCTTTACAGTAAATGGTAGGGAACAACTGGATATCCACATGCAAAAAAAAAAAAAAAAAAAAATGAACCTCAATCCATACCTCACACCTTATTAAAAAAAACTCAAAATGGATGATAGATCTAAACTTAAAACCTAAAACTAGAATACAACTTTTAAAAGAAACAGAGGAGAACATCACTGTGACCTCAGATACAGTAAAATTTCCTTAGCGAGAACATCATTTGCCTGGTCTGTAAAAGAACAAAATGACAGGCTGGACTTGGTCAAAATTTAAGAAATTTGTACTTTTTATTTTTTTTTAAAGATTTTATTTACTTATTTGACAGAGAGAGACACAGCGAGAGAGGGAACACAAGCAGGGGGGAGTGGGAGAGGGAGAAGCAGGCTCCCCGCAGAGCAGGGAGCCTGATGTGGGACTCGATCCCAGGACCCTGGGATCACGACCTGAGCCGAAAGCAGTCGTTCAACCGACTGAGCCACCCAGGCACCCAAGAAATTTGTACATTTTAAAAAAAAGATTTTATTTATTTATTTGCAAGAGAGAGTGCACAAGCAGTGGGGGGAGGCAGAGGGAGAGGGAGAAGCAGACTCCCCACTGAGCAGGGAGCCCCACTACAGGATTCAGTCTCAGGACCCTGGGATCATGACCTGAGCCGAAGGCAGACAGTTAACCGACTGAGCCACCCAGGCGCCCCAGAAACTTGCACTTTGAAAGACACTGTGAAGGGAAAAAAAGACAAGCCACAGACTGGGCAAAAGTATTTGAAACCATGTATCTGATAAACAACTTGCATCCCAAAACTATAATGAACAAACTCACAAAACCCAACATAAGAAAAACCATCCAATAGTTCAAGTGGGCAAAGACTCAAACACACCGGGTGCCTGGGTGGCTCAGTCGGTTAAGCGACTGCCTTCGGCTCAGGTCTTGATCCTGGAGTCCCGGGATCGAGTCCCGCATCGGGCTCCCTGCTTGGCGGGGAGTCTGCTTCTCCCTCTGACCCTCCCCCATCTTGTGCTCTCTCTCTCTTTCATTCTCTCTCTCAAATAAATAAATAAAATCTTAAAAAAAAAAAAAAAAGACTCAAACACACCACAAAAAAGATATACGGATGGCAAGTAAACATATGAAAAGAGGCTGAACTCATGAGTCATTAGGAAAATGACCATTAAAACCACAATGAGACAGCACCACCCGGCTAGGAGAACGCCCAAGGTCAGAGGCTGACCGGACCAGGCGAAGGGCAAAGACGTGGGGGGCCTGGAGCCCTCAAACGCTGCCAGTGGGAATGCAAAATAAAACACTTTGGAAAACAGTTTGGCAACTTCTTATATAAAGGTAAATATACACCCACCGTACCTAGGATTCCCACTCTTAGGTATTCCCCCAAGGGAAATGAAAACTTACATTCACCCCAAAACCCTCATGCACATGTTTATAGTCGCTTTATTCATAATCATCAAAAACGAGCAACCACCTAATGATCCTTCAGCTGGAGAATGGATAAACAAATCTCCATTCAGTGGAGTAATACTCAACAACAAACAGATATGAACAAGTGGTATGTGTAATAACGAATAAATCTCGCGTGCACTGGGGGAAGGAACCCAGACTCAAAAGGCAACAACTGTATGATTCGATTCCCATGACAATTCTGGAAAAGGCAAACGTGTAAGGACAGAAAAGAGGGAGCTCCTGGGTCGCTCAGTCGGTTAAGCATCTACCTTGGGCTCAGGTCATGATCATGGGGTCCTGGGATCAAGCCTCGCGTTGGGCTCCCTGCTCAGCAGGGGAGCCTGCTTCTCCTTCTCCCTCTGCTGCTCCCCCTGCTTTTGCTCACTCTCTCTCTCAAATAAATAAAATCTTTAAAAAAAAACAAATCTGGGGGTGCCAGTGGCCAGGAGTGGAGAGCGGGGGTGGCCACAAGGGGTTATGGCAGGATTGGGGGTGATGACAGAACCATGCTAGATCTGGGTGGTGAGGGTGAGTCTACGACCGTATACATTTGTCAACTCTTGCAACTATACACTACAAAGAGTGATTTTTACTCTAAGTAAAAAATGTTAAGGGAAAAAACCTGTGGGTGTGGGGACACATGAAGGTTGATGCAATCACCTTGCAGAATGCGACCTGTCACCCAGACGGCAGCCTCGGTGCCCAGAATGCACGTGGATGTTTCCCGTAAGAGCAACATCCAGGAACACAGCGCAGCCCGAAGGTGAAATCTGGGGCTGTCACCCCACTGGCTCCATGCTCTGCCTCCATTCTGGGCAGCAGCTGAGCCTGCACATCATTGTGGGGGATGACAGCCACTTGCCGGCCCTGGCCAGAGGCTCCCCACCACCACCAACCTTGGGGCAGTGATGAGGCTCCACCACCTTGAAATAGCTCTGACATCAGACGGGGGAGAGCAAAAAGGAAGAGAGATGGGGCCGAGGTGTTGGCCTCCTCCCTGGCCTGCTCACCCTGAATCACCCAGTAATGGAGAACCGGGTGCCTGGATGACATCCACCGACCTTGCTGCATCACAAGAGTGGGCTCACTGGTGGATGCTTCCCTGGCCCTGGCCTTCCGAATCGGAGGACAGGCTGCTGGGATGACCTCCACTGTCGTTGTGCATCAAGATGCTCACTGGGGGGGTGTGGGGGGGGGGGCAGGCTGGTGGCCTGAGGGACCTGGCCTGGGAACAGAAGGCACGGAGGCAGTGTGCCATTCCTCTCTTGGGCCATGACGTAGGAAGAAAGTCTGGGGGACGCCACGGAGCCCAGTTCCAAGGACAGAGATAAAATCTACATATTCAAAAGCATTTTTACTGAGTCACCAATACTACAAATTCCCACAGAGCACCCACAATGTACCAAGAACCATTCTAGCCCGACTCAGTGGAGCGGTTCCTGCCCTTCCAGACCCAACATCCTACTGAGAAAGATTGTCAGTAAGCACCAGATCAAATACATCATGCCAGGGGGAGGGAGTGGGACTGAGTACAATGAAGAAAAATAAAATCTGGTAAGAGGGCCAGGGAGAATAAGGAGCACAGAGTTGTGGTGTTGTTCTAGATGGGGCAGTCAGGAGAGGCCTCTCTATCAGGTGACTGTGAGCAGAGAACAGGAGTGAGAGCATGCGATTACCTGGAAAAGTGCCCAAGCCAAAGGAACAGTAGGTGCAAAGGCCCTGAGGAAGAAACTGGTGCGTGTGTTCTAGGAACAGCCAGCAGGACCATATAGTGAGAGGTGTGTAGTGGGCGAGGGGAAGGATGCCAAAGATCTTGGGCGGGCCTCACAGGCCTTCATATTGTTTAGAGACATGGGAAACCACTGGGGGCGTGGGGGTTGAAAAGAGGAATGATGATCTGACCTGAGTCGTACACACACCACTTGAGCTGATATGAAGAACGGAGCACAGAGGTCAAGGTAGAAGCAGGGGATGGAAAGGACATGACAGATGACAGTGGCCTGCATTATGGTGACAGCAGGAAAGAGGGTGGGAAGTGATCAGACTCTGGATGTACTTAGGGAAGACTGTTGTTAGAGTGGAGCATGAGACAAGGAGAAGAATGAAGGAAAAAACCAAGATCTGGGGCCTGAAAAGCTGGAAGAATGAAGTACCCACTTACTGAGAAGGAGAAGACCGTAGAAGGCGCAGGTTTGTGGCAGGGAGGAAATTGGGATTTTTTATGTTGGACGTGATAACAGTTTGCGATGCCTATTAGGTACTCATGACGATGCCCGGAGGCAGAGTCTGCAGATGTCTGAGCTGGAGATATAATTGGAACTTACTGAGTGGATGAAATTGCAAGTTTTGGGCATGGATGAACTCATGAAGAGACTCGGGGTAGATCAAAACCAGTGCCTGCAGGTA